AAAATCAAAACCTAAAAAAAAATTTGGTGATGATTTGTTTTATAATATTTCAAATTACTTTTTTTTATTTTTTTTCGTTTTTGCAGAACTGGAAAATTGTTTTCAACTAGTTTTTATTATGTAACATTTTTTAACTGGAGCCGGTACATCGAGTTTCTTCAAAATTGCTAATTTTTCTGCAGGTTGCACTAAAAATATTAATACAAACAAACAAAAATTCTTGCAAATTTTATTAGCTTTCATTTAAAAATAAATTTATCAAATTGAGTGAAAACTAAAGGCTGCAGTGAATTGTGAACACAAAACACCATTTTTGAATCACTGTGCAGGGCAAGTAAAGGAGAAATAGAAACATTAATAAAAAGTAGAAATAATGCAGAATTTTTTATTAAACGAATTCTATCTTTAGTAGTTACAATTAATATTCATTATTTAATAATCCGTTCTGGAAAAAGTTAATTTCTTCTATATTTATAAAAATACATATTTATCAATGGTCTTACATTTTTACCGCACGTCTTTTGCGTCTTGTGTATCTTTCGTCTTATCACTTTCCTTAACTGAGGTAATAAATCAAGCTTTAGAGATTATGCCAATATTAAACCATCATCATTATCAAATATTTTAGCGTCAAATTCTTTTGCACAGTTTTTCTTCTTTGCCTTCTGCTCCAAGCATACGTGAATTTACTGTTTCCTTTTCCTGCAAGTTATATATGTATGTACATATATAAATTTACTACGTGCCGCTCCTCATGAATGCTTATAATTTTTTCACCTTTTTTGATGCTAAATTTTCTTTATTGTTTTGATATTTGTTTTGCAGTTTCTCAATTCGTTATTTCCATAATATTTTTTTTTGCATAACTAAATACATTGCATTAGTGCATGCAATATTTATGTACATACGGGCATGAGATTTGTTTTTGTTTTAATTAATTGTTGAAAAGAAAGTGAAAATGGCGCGATTCCATTACGTTCGCGAGGCCAATCGCCTCCAATGATACTATTTTATTGTTATTCACCGACAGTGGCGGGAAAATAAATAGGGAAGCAACATTTTAAAAAAGATTGGGCATTTTTTTTGTATGTAAGTATATGTAGCTACCAGAAACCATTTAAGCCCGAATTGTACAAAAAGTAGGAAAATTCGACAAAGTTTTATCAAAATTTCCAACTTTTCAATAAGAGCTTTTACTTAGACTTGCCGTTGATTTTTGGCAAATTTTTTTTTGTTGATGGATGTCGCTCATTCTGTTCCATAGAAAGTAATATGTTCGAAAATTTTTTGAAATTCGTCGAGTAAGTTTAAAGTGACTTTCGAAAGCAGTTTTTATTTCTGAAAATCGAACTTTCCGATACTACTTTTGGTCTGCTTTTTACACGGTGAATCCAAAAAAAATTCCACTTTCAAATGTGTTACCAAAATAAATGAACGGAAAATGCTACTAAAAAGCTGTAATTCACATAAAACAGCAACAAAATGTCAAATGCCTTAATATTTAAATAGTTGATATCAGGAGAATAAATTAAATATAAGTATTTTTTTATACATATGTGATAAACAATTTTCAAAATTTTATACAAATTCGCCAAAAATCGTATCACATGGCAACACTCGATTGGTTTGACAGCACTTACAGCAGAAATGAAAATTGCTAGTGGAGCACGAGCAAGTTGAAATTATTGCTCGAGAGCGATTTGCGTAATTTCAGTTGCCAGTAACACCTTGCAATTTTTATTTCCGAAAATGATTTCAGAAAATCTGTAAATTTGCAAAAAATGACTTTCTGGCTGTTTACAAGGGAAAGCAGACTTTCCATTTCGCATTTTGGCAGCAAAATGCGGGGAAAAAGCGCCTGCACCTTAACAGTCAATGCAAGTGACTTGCATGCATGCATACGTTTTTAAGTATGCATCTAATTGTATGTATATTTGTATGTGCACAGGAAAAGATGTTACTACTTGACGTGAAATGCATACAAAATTTCGCATTAAATATAATTTGATCAGCTCAGTAGACAATAGACTAAATGGGAAAGTGAGTGGAGGTGTTCGCCCTTGCCATGTTTAACATGATCTCTATTGAGTGTTTCAAAATCGCTCACGGCTCTAATTGCTATTACTACATACTTATACATATGTACTGGAGAAACAATTGCGTGCACGTGCATGTACTCGCATGTATTATTTCCATGTATATTTTAAATGTTATTGCATAGTCGGGCTATTGTGTAACGAACTCGATATCTGATTCTGACATGTCATCTTGTTTGAATTTATGTACTCGTACATGTATGCATATTAGGGTGGTCCAAAAACAGTAAAGTCGGAATTGTAAATTGCTCTCACCCTCTAGAATTGTTTTATATAAAATAACTTTCGTAGAAATAGTATATAATTCTTGAAAATCAATATTTTTCGATTGGAAATCTCTGGTTGCCTTCCGAATACTTTCAATAATAATACCCAATTATTTATTTTTAAAACTAACGATTTTTCTTTGGTCCCCTTTTGAATTTTTCGGGGCTTTTGTGGGTTTTAGGTGGACCTATAAATTATAGTTGCGATAAAAAAATTGTTGAATAAACCTTTGGGTATTATTAATGGGAATCTTCTGCAGATAAGGAGAGTTTTCCAATAGAAAAATATTAATTTTTAAGAATTCTCTACCATTTCTACCAAGAGTTGTTTCTTTTTTCACCCAAATAAAATACATGGAAAACTTTGGGCGCTTTGAGCGACCTGTAAATATTTTGTGATTTCAAAATAAAAAAAATAGGAGTATATTGTTGTTCGGTATATGGAACAAACCTAGGGGACGAGAGCATAAAATTTCCGACTTTACTTTTTCACATCCATTTTTGCACCACCCTAATGCACATACGTGTATATGTAGTTATGTATATATTCAGTCGGTCATTATCACGTTTGAATCTTTATAGCCGTTTCAACCGCTCGTTTATTCAATTATTAGAAAACTATGCAAATTTATATACAAATACTTATATATGTATGTGCACACATATTTACATATTTGAAACTTATTTCTAATTATAATGTGTGCAACTTACTACATTCTTAATAAATCTGTTCCAAGTATGACTCATATTTCAGAAGAAAGGGCCATTAAATCAATGGATAATTTTTCCTTGGAAGTTGTTAAGGATTTTCGTTGCCGCTTAGTTCTTCTGAATCGCAATGTGAATAAAATGTGGGTGTGCTAGCCTTTAATGGAATGAATAAAAAACATGCATGTATTAAAATATGTTTTTTTTCTATTATTTTATTTAGAAGTGCGGTATTTTCACTAAATTTTTTTGCTTTTATTACTATTTATTTTATTATTATATAATCTTAGGTACTTTTTTCATAAAAATGTAGTTTGTTGAAAAGAAACTCTACAAACTGTCGATATCATTAATTATGTGCCTTAGAAAGATATTGAGTATGCAAATGCAAGTTTTAACTACGTAGGGCTTTTTGTTGATTTTTGGTTTGGTGTTGCTCATATTCTCCATATAATAATTATTCGTATGGAAGAAAATTAGTGACATCGTCAACAAAAAATTTGCCAAAAATCAACGAAAAGCGCTAGGTACTTAAAACTTGCATTTTATTTTACTAAAATTGAATGGGCTACAAATCTGCATACGCAATATCTTTCATAGAAACTTAATTAAAAATATCGAAATTTTTGCGAAAGTTTGTTGGTGTTTCTTTTCAAATATTGCACAAAGTTTGAAACTTGTATTGATATGGATTTTGTTAAAGACTAAAATTTAATAACACAGCCAGAAACACAAATAAAATTCAGAAAAAAATATTATAAGAGCGCTTAAAGATTTGCATGCCTTTTGTATAATTTTTTAATATCAGAGAGCGGAAAATTCGCGAGCTACTATTTTTCGGTATGAAAAAGTTCGTTATATTTACGGAATGTTCGCGGAATGGCTTTTTATTTTGGTGATCCACGGACATAGAAAATACACTTTTTCTCTCAAATAGGTAAATTAATTTTATCTCAAAATATGGATCAGTAACCCGCCTTCACTTGAAACTCTAAATGATATTGAATATGCAAAATGTAAGCAATTTGAGTCCAATTATTTTTATCCTTTCGAAAGCTTCGAAAATCTTAAAATTCAAATCAAAGATATGCGTGTAATATGTATGTAGTACTTTTAGGGATTATGTTAGTTCCAAGGCGAGTTCATAAAAGGTGGTGTTGCCAGAGATTCATCTGAGATTTTCGCAGCGGTGTTCTGAATGTCAAAATTATGTGATGAACCCCCAAAACTCCTACCTGCGTTCGCCTCTGAAACGAGGTCGTCTACTTTTTCAATTCATTTCATGTATTTCAACGGCTCTTTTGAGGAAGCATAAACAAGTTGCAAAAACTACTTGGAGTTACTACTTAAGTAGTACTGCTAGTTAGCAAAAATCGTACTTAACATGATTCATTAAAAATGGCTTGTTAAAGAAAATTTATGGAGGTGATATGTTCAATTCCTGTCGAAATCCAATAAATAAAATTATATATTTGCGTTTAAAGGAAAAATACAAATACATTAAAGACAGAGGATATTAAAATTTCTAACCCGTTTTGCTTTAGTTTCTAAAAAAAAAAAAAAAAATACACTCGCTGTCTGTAATCCGAATTTGTTCAGACGAGTGACGCTTTCCCTCAGCTAAAGACTTATGAAAAACACTTCAAAAATCCATAAAAGACGTATTTTTTTGAAGCCTAGAAAATTTCCACTTCGAGATAATCCTAAGAAGCATCAAAATTTATAAATGATAAGCTTTTAATTTATTGGTAAAAACTACTAAATAATTACATTTTATGCAAAATAATTTTTTCTGCATTAAACGTGATACACCATAATATTTGTTTGTATGTACATAAATAAAGTATCCTATATGTGTCTATGTGTATTTTATATCTCATTTTTAATGTTTGTGCTATAATCCACAATTTTTTTATTCGTGATGTTTCAGGGTACAAATTGACTTAATATAATCTGACAACGAATTCCCAGAAGCAATTTTTTCAAAGGGAACGCCAAAGTGAAAACGGATTCATACAAACACCCCCGTTTGAATAATAAACTACAACTTAACAAACCCTGAATGAAATAAAAGAAGACAACGAACTTAATTTCATGGCAAAATCTCTGTGGGATGAGGGGAATAATATGCACCTGGCTACAAAACAGATGAGCTATACTGACAAAAGAGCAACTAAATTTGCAGGTGTAGAGATTTGTCAACAAACACAAGTAAACAATGTACTAACAACAAAACAGGCAAAAATTGCGATGCAAACAAAGGAACAGCAACTAAGAATGAAAGCGAAAATGGGTGAAAGTTCAACGAAAATATGTCGCGTTGCTCAAAAAACGAGAATACCAACGCTGTTAGCTACGAACAGAGCAATCGTTAGGATAAGCAAACAGAAGGTACAAAATACCCATCCCAACCACGATGTCAAATGTCTGGCAAACAGAGCAGCATGCCATGCTTGCCTCAGCATCAACGCCACTTGCTGTGCTACTTTCCTCTACACAATCTACAATACCATATCCAGAATACCATGGATTTTTCTGCTGCTCTCAGTACTGGCATTCCACATTTGTCAGAGCGGCGTAATAGCTTACAAGCCGGCAGCGAGAACAATGGAACTCCAGCGTGCAATAATCGACCCACACCATAGAGCGTTACGAGCGACGCAATACAGCCAACTGTTATCCACCGATGGACAATGGGCGGGAAATGATAATAACAATAGTTTCCGGCCGATTATCCCCAAGGACATTAGTCCAGAAATTATTGCACAGAATGTCTTTACCCATACGGGCCAGTATCGTGTTTTCCAGCCGGCAACCAGCGATCTACGCATAGCCGTGGCAATGGAGCAGAATGCAAAAAATGTTGTTGATTTTGAAGCAAATACGGGTAGCATGGCTTCAATGGAAGCTCAAACAAATACAACTACGGGGAGTGGTATGAACAACGAAAATAAGCTCGGAACGAAAAACCCCACGACTGAACAAAAAACAATGGCAGAGGCAAAGGTCACAAAGTTAATGACGCAAAAAAAAGATGGCAAGCAAAAAGAAGTGGCAGCTCCACCGATGACAACCCTCGGCAATACAAAATGGCAAAGCGAATACGCAGAACATTCTACACAAATCAGGTTATCCGAAAAGGCACTTGATGCACATGAAGGTAAAGCATTGCCATTTACCTCTGCATTAAGCCAATTAGCAGCAGAACAAAGAAAACTTACAAATAGCAACAAAGTACAAACCCCGGTAGCAGCAACGTTTCCAGATGCGGCCCAAAATATAGTCAATGATGATATTAAGGAATTAGAAGCTTTGCTGGTCGAGTATGCAGAGAGTTTCTTCAACAAAGCAGAGTACGAACCATCCAGCGAATTGGTTAATGCGCTTCAAAAGAATCTTACCACCGCCGACGGTTTCACGCTAATAGCAGAGCAACACAAGAAGCGTCCAATTCGGCATGCTAGCGCCAACCCGCATCATCATCACCACCATAATCATCTGCATCATCACCGAAATCTCCTTTTCGAGGGAATTAAGCGCAAAGCTGACGGCGATCAGAGCGTTAACATTCCTCGAGCTGTGGAATCGGGACGACTACTTTTTTTTACAGGTGCGTCATAATATTTATTACACAAATATGTACATACACGCTTTACTTAAGTTACTCTAACTTGTTTATTAAGGTTTGAAAAAGGCGCTCTGGCCCATTTTCATGGGCTTGCAAGTATTAAAATCGCTGCTGTTCGCATTGTTCTTGCCCACATTAATTGGCTCGTTTGGTAAACTTCTTGGTAAAGGTAAGTGAAATAAAATTTTATTAAATATTTGTGAGCAATTTATGTATGTATGTGTGTTACCGAGAAATGGACATACTACATGTATGTATTAGTAACAGTTATTTAGAAAAATGAGATTACCTAAATCTGCACATATGAAATTTACTTTTACTTTTACTTTATCGTATCTGAGTTCCGCGAAAAGCGTTCGCTTGTTAAAATGCACTGGGAAAAAATTATGTGAAAATTCCCACGTGTTCACGATTTCCATTTTGCTCGAATTGGGGGACATATTTCTGGGTTAGGGTGGTGCGGACATGCATAACGCTTGAATATTTTATTCGAGGAAAAAACTGTGTACTACTGCGAAAAAATTCCGTTTCGCAGTATCTCCATTAAAAAAAAAATCATTGTTTAAAGGAATTCTCTGTATTATGTGTACCTGTTGTACCAGTGCCGGATTTAATATCTATGGGCCCATATGCTCTTTCCATATGGCGGGATCCCCTGGGAGTAGTACTAAGCAAACTGCGGCCATGGGTTTCTTCCAGATTTTAGTTTTCATTGAGTTTTTCTATAAAATCTAAATTTTAAACCACGTGATATATTTTTTTTTGTGTTGCACAGTAGGATGAATGAAAACAAAATTCTCGCCATGTGCAGTAGAGTGGTCCAAAAAAATTTTTCCGAGGTAGGGCTTGGGCCATCTTCCAAAACTTCAAACTCTTGCCGAAAGTGGAGCTGGTACCAAAGTTTGCGTTTCTAAATTTAAATTTAGAGGATGCTCATGATGCTCGTATTTTATTCTAGAAATATTGTGTACATGTACATATGAGTAACATTTTTTCCTGCACGCTATTCGAAAAAATATTCAATTGAAATAATGTAATAAAATTTACCAAACTTTTTCCAGGTATTGTCTCTGGTTCGGCACCACTTTTCATACGCCCACCAGACACACCACAAGAACTTGATTTCCGCGACAATGCAATCAATTTCGATGACGAAAAATTTGCTATGGTCGATGAGAATAACAAAGAGGATGGCTACGCCTACAATCAAGCAGGTAAGTCAATATTTTTTTTTTCACATTATTTGCTTATTCGAAATCTATTGTACTTTACAGCGGCCTCTCAAACACACTATACCTACAATGCCGCCGACATAAATCGCATTGAACAGCAGAATAAAATGCCAGATACGTATTTGAGTGCATTGCAAACCATCGGCTCGGCATCATTTAAAAACTCTGGTTCGCTTTCGGGCAGCTTGTCTGGTGGTGGCCTAGGTGGTGGCGCCGGTCTTGGTGCACCGTTACGTACAAAACCAATTGCACCAGCCAACACCAACACTTTTCAAACATTCCAAAAAGTACCAGCCTCTTCGCTGTTGCTCTCCAACTATGATCCTTTCTACAGTCCGCTTTTGTCGCGTTTGGATTCAGTATTTGCGCAGTTGAAATTAAATTCGGACAATGAGAATTGTCGCGAAAAGTTGATTTGCTTAATGTATGCGAATCCAGCAAAATATGCGCCATACAGTAATTTGGTTTCGGCGCAGTTGTCGCGGTAAGTTTTTGGAGAAAGGAGAAGTAAAATTAGAAAAGTTTCAATTGAAAATAAAATCATGAAGGCTGTACAGTGAAAATGACAAATATCGGGGCACTATAACCTAAAGCCTCCACATGACTGACGAAGGGGTTTTACTTTAAAACACCTTAATTTGGACGGCTAATACCGGGCAATTTTGTGAGCTATTTTCTAAATAAGCATTCAAAGCTACTGAGAAAATTATCAAGGTCGGATGATAATCATCATTCAATAAACACTTAATTTTTTTATTAGAAATATAGGATTTAAATCAATTCTTTTTAACCAGTTTCATCAAAAAAAAAATAAAAATAAGCTCATTAAGTTCCTCGAGCGCTCAGTGCATTTCCGCAAATTTCGCAAGTGCTTAAAGCTAGTCCCTTTTTATATCTTCGCATACTCGTGCATAAATAAAGTGTTTATCCTCATACTTTCACACTTTCAAAAACGCTGGCAATACCCACGATCTCCCATCACATGTTTTTGAACGAAATGTTACTCATACGCCACACCGAACGCGCGATTCCTACATTGTTTAACGACAATATTTTCGAACGCCAAAATGTGGCTAAATTGGATTGCTATGTATGTGAATGTTCAGGATGTGTAGTTACTTTTTCACTCACACATTCAAACTTCTCTTTATTCTTAGTCATTGCAATTCGCTGTGGTATTTGCTTAGGGGATTTATGTAAATACAAAGCTCATTGAAAAACTTAGATGAAAGGAAGGAAGGAAGGAAATGATTGCGTATGCTTTGTTTTATTTTCGGAAATCTCTTTTTTATATACTTTTTGTTGATAGGAAAATGTTTGGATTTTTGAGGTTTCATTTCATTTATTTTTTTGCTGCCCCTTTTCAAATTTGCATGCGATGTTTTTCTTTTTCGTTTTTGTTTTTATGTGTACTGATTTTTTCGTATTCCCTTTCTTTCAGCGAATTGAATGAACTACGCAAACCAACATCCGATAATCCAGATATTCTACGTTTTTTCAAGTACATGCGTGCTGCTAAGGATGGTCAGGATGGTGTAGATTGTGAGAAATCATTTGATCAATGTACAGAATTTAAGGATTTCGAGAATCCTGCAATGGTTTCAACATATCATGATATTAACAAATTGGTGCAGGCCCGCAAGTTGGCGTAGAACGTTTAGAGTAGAAAGTATACAAAAAACATTTATATATGTAGCATACAAGCCTTATGTAAATTAAAGTGTTAAGTGAGTTAAAGTGGGTGAAAGACCTTTAATCGTTTTGAAGTCAACTGCTGAGCGCACAGGATAAGCGACTCATTTATGTTTGTAGATATATTTTTTTTTTGTGTTTAGTCAAAAGTAAATTAGAAACTTATACTTATATGTAGCCATTTACTTATGCGAAATGCAGTTTATACTTAAGTTTTGTAAATAAATTTAAGTAATGTATGTATGTATGTTAAGTGATACGCAGATTTAGTTAGACATTATTATTTATTGTAAAAATACTTCTACTCGACTGTGCAAACTTTGAGAGAACTTGTAAACGAAAATTATGTTATTTTATTGCCTATGGAAATTGAAAAAAGAACACAGCTTCTCCTGTCAATGGACAAATATAATGGCTAAGCACTTAAGCAACGCAGCGAGCATTTTAATAAAATTTCTAGAAAATAAATGTTCATAACTAAACTAAAACCTACTGAAAATATTTGAGCACTTTTATAAAATTATGAAATTTAGTCTTGCTTTGCGCAGAGATCTTGCTGCGGTTGTGAGTTTAAGGTATAGTAGTGATGCTATTTACGCCCTACCGAAATAAAAAATTGAAAAGTGATACCAGAGTTAGGGAATTTCTAGAATTGTTAGGTGAAAATTTAGCGCCAAACTGACTCTTCTCCTTCTTCTTTATTTGCGCTGTAAGCGTATAAGCGATTTGGATCGATTACAATTGAGTACGACAGTTGTTTCCCTTCTATGCCCACTAACACCTACTTCAAATTCGAAGTGAGGCCAAGGCCTGCTCAGCATAGCCTTTCCTCTTTCACAGCCAACGTTGAATACCTCTTCTACATCGTTTGTAGTGAATTTAAACAAAACAGCAAAAATGGCCTACGGGACGTATGAATCGATGATGCAAATTTATTCCCAGTTTCGTCCGAAAAAAAATCACCCGCAAAATTTTTCTTCCGCTCATAGTAAAAACACGAAAACAAAAAAAAAAGTAAACCGGTTCGGGGAAAATTAAACTCATAAAAAGGTCCCTTTTTAAAATAGATTTTCAGGAAGTGCTGTAGACCAAATAAATAAATGAATAAATATAATAAAGACTTTCTTAGCAGAACCGCAAAAAAAAACTTTAATATAAAAAGTTCCACCTTGTTTAGTGTCTGCAAACTTTTACATGCCTAAGGACATATAAAATCAAACGACGCGTGACTTGCAAAAATCAGGGTATGCACGCAAGTATTTAGGCGCACAAAACGTATTTGTATAAACTGAGCAATATATGGCTGCCTGGATGCCATGAAGTTGATGAGTACGAATCAGTATAAAAAAGAGCGACGTGAATGAGTTTATTTGATGAAATGAGTTTATTTCCAATAAAACCTCATAAATCTAAATCGGTAAAGTATTTGCAGAGTTATTCAAGTTTTTCTTTTATTAATCTTTTAAAGCAGTTCAAAGGCGGCATCAAAAAATCTCATTATTATGATTCCGTTCAAAATTTTTATATATTATTACTTTCAAAACCTATTTTTATTCATAGAAAAACTAAATTTTTGGAGGTATTTTCAAATCGGTCCAGCTCACGCAAATCGTAATACTTTTCCGGAATATTTTTATGCGACACTTAAAATGTAATAGATTTTATAATTCCAATGGAAGAACTACCGATTTTTTTTTCTGTATGGGGAGTAATGCAGTCAATGAACATATGCGACTTTCTTTGAATTTTACATCTATCCAGTTTTTGTTTCTTATGAAATAGGCATGCAGATAGATGACTCTTGTATATTTAATAGACTGACGAACACATAGGCCAGGTTTGGTCTGAGCTTCTCTTCCGATTTGTGGCGTGCGCCTTAATGTTGTCACACAAATGGGAGGAACCTACAGTTTTACGGCGACTACGAATGGCGATTATGTTTTTTAAGAAGCTATTTTTCATGGCAGAAATAGACTCGTAAGTTTGCCATTGCCTACCGAGGAGCGAACGCTATTAGAAAACAAATTTTTTGTTTTCATTTTTTGATTTTGGGCGGACACCTAGACCCTGTGGAATAGTATCGCGCACTGCTAACTACTAACAAGGAATTTATAAAATACTTTTATCTTATATTTTAAATGTTTTCAACATTTTTCGTTTAATAAATATTTCAAAATTTGTATTTCAACTCTATTATTTACTAAATCCATCACTTCAATAAATTTCAAATATTTTGTATTAACTTTTTATATTGCTGGCAACACTATTGAGAAATATTTCTGAGGCAATGATTTTTTAAATACCTTTCGTTTGGCACCAATTATCTTATGAATTTAATTGAATTAAATTTTTGGAACAGGTGACAAACATCTTCAAAAAATGCCCTGTTCACTTTGCGGAGTGAAATATACTTTGCAACCTATTATTATACCTATTAAATATACAAAAAAATTAATCATATTAATCGTCAAGTCGTTTCGGAGGACTTCGAGGATGCTCTGAATTTTTCAAATACCTCAAGTTCTGCGCCACCTATCGGGAAACATTTTTTGTGGAGTTATTCCCATTCAAATATATTATGAGCCTATCGGATCAAAACAATTGCATTGCCATCGGGCTGCGAGCTAAGTTTAAAGTTTAAGATTCCTAGCTCATTGGTAAGTCGGTAAAAAATTGATTGTAAGACTTGATGACACACAGGTGAAACATAATAAAAGCTTGTAAAAAGATGTAAACGTGCTTTTATTTTATCTAGTATTTATTAACAAAAAATTTCTTAATAAAAATAAATATGGCATTTTATGGATTCTAACTATAAAGCAATTACTAGTTAATAGTTTCTTTGTTAACGTGCCATCGGTATACTAACTACATAAAGGCATGTGTATGTATTAGGGATGTTAATTTTTCGGCTTTTTCCGATCCTGGGGTTTTCGGGATGGCGTTGTCACAACGCTAACATAAAACGAAGCGTTCAAAATCATTTTAAGATTGGAACCTTGGGAGCATATATTTCTTTCAGTTTGGGGTTCAGTAACCAGTAACACGAAAAACAAAATTACTGGCGCACTTTAAGGGATTTGCCCAAAATCGCTTAGGCGGTTACTGCGTCAATCAAGAAATAAATAGTTAAATTTATGTATATGAAAAAGGGCTAGCAAAATTGAGCTGATGGAACTGCACCAGCATTGAGGCGTCTTCTCTTTGAATTTGAATACTTGATTTCACTCGATCTGAAGTGCAGGGCGCAAAACCTTGGTTGGATGCAAGCCAGTGGAACACCACACGCATTCGTCGATTCCCCTTTCTGTGTAACATCTTTCACACACACAATAAACATACCTTCCTCTTCATTGTGGGTAGTTCTGCATAAACAGCTCTTTATTTCCTAAAACAAATTATTTTTGGAATTGCAATTAAAAAAATTTTAAATTTTAAATGCATTTATAATGTTGCTACTGTAAAACGGGTTAATACAATGAGAAAACTGTGTCAAATGGGCGTTTCGAAAATAAATATGTCATACTAGGGTGCTTTTTTTTTGCGACTATTTTTTTTTCGGTCCCATCG